ATTCTGAAAGACAACTCAGGTAATGGAGCTATTTCTGTAAAGGTAAACTTCATGTAAGAATGTTTAGCAGAAAGGCAGGACATGTATGGAAAGGGATTCAAGGTAGAATAAAAATAAGGAAGATAATGCAAAGGGAAATATTTAGGGTAGCATGGGGTAGCTCTAAGTTGTCAGGACTATGAAAAATCCTTTTCTCATACCTTTCCTTAAGCAACTGTTTTGGATTGTCTTATATCCAGAACTTTTTCTCACAGCCTGGAAGTTTAGACTTTCAAGCTTGTTTTGGTATTTCTCTGAGAAATAAAAGCTCATGTTCTGAACCTTACGTTTCTACTAATTTTCTTGAATTTCAAAGATTTGTGTTTTAGTTGACTTGTGACTGCATAATTTTTTACTGCTTGAGATGCCACTTATGATTTTGATTTGTTTTCTTCTTAATATTACTTCTGTTTTGGATAGCTTTCTTGTCTTTAGCTATTCTGGCTATGCCTTCACCCATGCTAGGAAACAATTATCATTGAGTTCTCTTTAACCTTCCTCATATCACCTGCTTATTTAGTCAAGCTCTTGCATTAAATATTTGCTTTTTTCAGACTTTCTCACTTTCCCTTGATGCTTCTTCTACAACTCTTTCTATTCCTTTAGCACTTCTGAAAATCTCCTCAATGACCTTTTGTTCCTTTTTATTGCTCCTGAGTAAGAAATATATATTTTTTTTATATTCTAAGAAAAGATCCTTTGTTTCCCAGTTTGGGAGACTGTTTTTCTGATTTATCATCTATGCCAAATAACATTAAAATATTCAGTGGTTTCAGGTGTTGCTATGACAATACAGTCCTATTGGATTTAAATCTGTGGCATGTACAGGGCAATTAGAACTCATATTTGAGGCCAGTGAATTTCTAGGTTAGTGAAAATTTTAGAAGTTATAATAAGGGCATGCTGACACATGCCAAAGTCAGCGACATGCAGAGCATGGATATAACATGAAAGGCAGTACTGAAATTTAAAAAATAATTTCTTCATTCTAATTTGGTACAAAATCCTTTCAGTCATGGGAGAGGAAGATCTTACATTCTCTGGGATTTTGATGTTGAGGGTATTTGCTTACAATAAAACAGTAGAAGGAGGAATAGAGAGAGATTTGGCACATCCATTTGCCTTCCTTCTCCTCTTTGTGTGTCTTACTGACCCACAGTCGCAGTCTGCCACAAATCTTCATCTACAGGTAGCAAATCAATGGCACTATTATTTTTATCTATGGAAACCTAAAACAGGCATACCAAATAAATGTGTAGACTTTTTATATTTTGCAAAACTTTTTTTTTTCCTAGCGGGGTTCCTATGCTCACTGAAAAAAAGCACTATATGTGTTGGCAAGACCATAGTGTATAAAAGTTAAATACTGGGAAGTGTTGATTTCTTGACCCCCACATATAAAGATGTCAATGAAGGGGAAATGAGTACCTGTTTTACATGTGAGATCTCTAGCTGACATAGTTTTAATTCACTGTTTTGAATAGAAATTTTAAGTTGGTAAAAGTTTCTGTCAGTTGTTTTACTAAGTAGCATGGGTTGCATGTAGGGCTTAAATAGACAGAAAGCAAATAAATTATTTGCTTCTGCACAGGGAAATCTTCTATTTCTGTCTGTTTTAAGAAATAATTTCCATGAGCCAACAGAAAAAAAAATTAACATAGATAAATTATATCCCATGTGAATATGAGGGATATACAGGAGGTAAATCTAAAATATTGCTTAAAACCCAGAAGAAACCTTTTCTTTTGGTTCATATTTTAAATTTGGTTCATATTTTTCTCTAATAGAATCTAGGTCAGCTTGTAAACAGAAAATACAGATTGAAGAAAAAAAATGTTTTTGCATTTCTGATCAGAAATATTTTAATACCTTCAAAGGAACATATTCAGGATATTTTAAAATTTTCCCTCTTCTAGCAATAGTTCTTTTGTTAATTCAGCTCAAATTCATATGGCTTTGATCTTATGAAATTTATCGTCTTTCACAAATTAACCACTGATAATTAAAAAGAAAAAGCCCTTCTCTGCTATGGATAGATCATCTTGCTTCATCACATATAGCAAATTGACCAATTATATTATTTAAAAACTCTTTCAGAAAGCCTTTTTGTCTTTCCTACAGTTCTGTAATTTCTGTCTAATAATAGCAGTAGTTACCTTCTCCATCAGAGCAGTTTGTTGTTTGGGAAAGAAAAATTAATTTTGTGACTAGGATTCACTCACAGATGTAAATGCCACTGTGACAGTCGATCAGTAAATCTGAAAGGAAAGCAAATTTTCTATATGCTATTATAATAATACATTTTTCTTGGAGGGAAGAGCATTACAATGTGGAATGTTACAATGAGTTTATAGCAGAGATTAAAGGCAAAGAAATATGGCAAAGAAAACATATTATAAAGAATCTGCATATCAAACCTAATTTATCTTAAAACATTGAGGAAATAATCTATGTGTATAGACTTTTTCATTTGCAGTAGCATACTGCAGTCTCTTTTCAGATGCAGATCAGCCAGAGAATAACAATAAGAAAAGAACTGTAAAACAGATTTAGGAATTCAGTTTTACTAATAGATGGGTGTTGTTTTAAAATCTGCCTTGATGATCATTAGTCATTCCTTGACATTTCTCCCACTTTATTTGGTTTCAAAAGACTGCTAATAATCTCTATTGTCTAAAAATTTTCTTCTCCATGCTGTGGAGAAGGCTGATATTATCAACTTTTCAAGTTGAGAAATTAACTGCCCAAATATCTTGTTTTTAGACAAACATAAAGTTATTTACAATAATGTACTGCACGAAAAACTGTGATGAAACTACACTAAACAACTCTAAGATATACAACCTCAAAACTTTATTTTTCAAAGAAACCAACAGTTTCTTGATGGATGTTCCTAAACAGATTTTAATTGTCCATCTGCTGAAAAGTTTTAGTTAGGTCTGAGGGATTTGGCGGTTATGAAATCGGAAATATTTTTGGCTTGGCTAAGACACATGAATTCAATGCAATAAATGTAGCTAAGATAATTTTTGTCTTTATGATTATGAAGTGGCATCTGAAATCACAGAGAAATAAATGTTAATATTCCTGTAAAGTAAAGTATAAATCACAATGATAAGCTGCTGAAAAATATGGAATGGAAGCATAAAATCATTTTACATTTATACCATTCAGTTTCCTTTTAAGTTCAAGATAAAACCTCATTAAGGCGATGAAGTACTTTCAGAAACCTCATTTCTAAACTTTATAATTTACACAATTTTAAAAATATTTGGGAGTTCTTTTTCTGCTGTCCTGTAGCCATCAAAAGTTCACAAACCAGCACCTGAAAAGCACTTATGTATGTCATTAAATAATTCATGATATTTAGATTCTTCTCCAGTACAAAGAACTGCAGAACCTTCTATCAACTTCTCCCAGAAAGCATCAAAAAAAGAAAGAAAACACTCTAGCAGTAGCATGCATAGATATTTTTCTATTGCTCCTGTCTATATGCATGCCATGTACTTTTTTTTTTATATCAGTATCTATAAATTGTGTTTTTCTCTATCTGGACACCTGCTTTTAATAGCTCCATTTTGTTTGCTGAATAAATGCTTTTCTTTTCTTTTTTTTTTCTTTTTTTTTCTTTTCCCTATTGAGTGTCAGTGACATGCAAGAAACAGAAATGTTTCACAGACACGACACCATCTCAGTGACTTTCTTTGCATGTAAATGCGGCACTTTGGTTTTAAAATGGTAATCCAGTGCTGTTCTCTGTACTTTAAAAATGCAATAGTTGAAATACTTTGAAATTCTCTAGTTCCATTGCTTGACAAACTTTATATGGCTTTTCTGCACCAAATTCATTATGCATCTAATACCTCATTGTATTTTTGGATAGCTATGACCACTTTGCTGAAGAGGGAAATACAGTGTTTTCCTCAAGCTACTCAGTCTAGACATTTTTATCATTAACCTATTTCATCTCACAAAAATCCTTTGTTCAGGTAGAGTGGAACTGTGTCCTGCCATTATATTACTAAGTTATAAACAGATAAGAAATTTTGTCTCCCTCCCTTATGTGCTATGCAATAAGTCTACAACTGAACACAATCAGAATCTGAATTGTTTCCTAGTTCAATACAGTTTTCATCCTGTCATTTTTCCTATTCAGCATGTGAGCATGTTTTCTACAAAATCTTTGCATTAGTACTTCCCTTTCAAGAGAAATCTCTGCAATACTATGAGAAAGCACAGCTAAGAAAGCATCATAGCTCTGCCTTAAGGCTGGTGGAGGATCTTGAGCACAGAGAAATGAGAAGCAGAAAGACTGACAGTAGAACAAGAATTGCTTTGAGTAAAGATACCAAGAAGTAGTGGTGTGTGTCTTAACCCTATTATAACAGGGTTATATGAACATGAGTATTTTGGAGAACAGAAAAGCCATACAATGCCCCCCAAATAATAGCAACATAACAGATTTTCTTTTCCTCTCTTCATATATGAAGCTGCTAAATATACCCAAAACATGAATGAGTCTGTCAAGGCAAAGTAATTTTAACCAGTATCACATCATTTAAAACATTTAAAAGTTTTGTTTTCTCTTTATTTCATTAAACATTTGTCATCAGTCACTAAGAAGATTTTCGTATTAGACTGTCATTACAGAAGCATTAACAGAGATGTGCAGATTCTCAAGCATCTATATTTCAGTATTAGTGCAGTTGGATGCATTAAGTGCTAGTCCCAGAAAGCATCACTAAGCAGATAAGTTTATATCAGTATATTCTTAAATGCTTAACAGTTTTCTTCCTCTGTGTCATAAAAGGCAGTCATAGAATCACACATATAATCTGGTTTTCCTTTGTTGCCTTTCAAAATATGTTAATATATTCCTGCATCATGGGTTTTGAGGCTGGGGAGGTTTTGGTGGTTAAATTCAGTGCATTTTTTTCTCAGTGATTGTTTTTGTCTTTCAGACTTGAATCTCCTACTAGATCTTTGGTGATGGAAGCACCCAGGGGAGTGCAAGTCAATGCAGCTGCAGGAGACTTAAAGGCTACCTGTAGGAAAGAGCTGCACTTACAGTCCACAGAAGGGGAGGTAGGTTCAACCAGCAGAGACATGCTCTACAGCTCTGTCCAGCATAACACAAACAATGTGAGGAGGGTTTATTCAGTAGCAAGGTAAACAACATGAAAAGTGTTCTGCATTTGCCTTTGTTAAAGTGATTTTGGTTTAGCTTGTTCAACTATTAATACTTATTTCCTTTTCTAGAAATATTTGAAAATATTTTAGAATATTTGAAATATTGAGTTTCATTCACACTGAAAATAAACCTAGTTAATACAGATCAGAATTACTTGTAAATTAAGAGTGAAAGAAAAAGCTTCCATGGAACAGAATTGGTTAAGTGATACTGGTAAACAAATAACTTGGATTAATCTGTCAAAATAAAACAGAGAAGTTTGGATTAATTTAGATTAATGCATCATTAAACCATGATTAAGAGGTTTAACAAATTTGCTCTACCTGTGGTTTAACTCCTTAATCTTTTACTACCTCTGTAAGAGACACAGAGTACTTACATCATATGTTCTCTCCTGTTTCATTAGTGTCTTGTTTCATAGATCAGTGATAAGTGACTGACATAAAAAGACTTTGATAAAGATTCTTCATATGTAAACCTGTGTGGACACATGCAAATGATTCAAAAGTGGGTCAGTTTTTGGGATGGCAATCTATGCATTGCAGAAATGCATGAAGGAATTCTGGTATGGGAGTCCTTTCATCTTTAGACCATAAAATGACACAACATTAAAAAAAAACAAAAAGCTAAGATCTTGTTGAAGGTTATCAAGAGCTCTCAGATTTCTATTAGGCACTTTGGAGAAACGGATAAGTTTTCAAACTGTTCTCAGAGGGGCTTGCTACAGTGCAGCATTTTTGGAAATCTATAATGTAAATATTTCATCATGAATGCAGCTCTTTAGAAATTTTTTCCCTTTTGTGTTTGTGTTTGGTATTCTCTACCAAATGTTTCTAGATGTTTTACACACTATCCAACACAAGCAAAACCAAACAAAACCAACATTCACATTTGTGGCAGATAGTCCCATGGAATGCACACTCTGTATTACAGTGCAGCCAGGAACATTTTGACCAATATATTATAACAAAATCCTATTTTGATAACATTTTTTTATTGATGCAAGTATTTGTCCAGCACAATTAAAACACTGTGTTTTCCTAATTTAGTGTCTCAAATATTTGTATACCACGCGCCCCACCTTATTTTTGAGTTTCTCCAAAATCAGCTCTTCCCCCAGTCTCTCATCTTTACTTACCACCTCTCTTGCTGTTTCCTAACATTGCTGAGATAGAAGTAAAAAATCCAATTCTCTTTTAATAGTAAATATTGTCCTACCTCATCATTGTCCTTTCTGTGGGTATTTTTGAGTCTAGATCTTCCTGTAACCTGTCTTGTTCTCCCTTTCATAAATCCCTACCTGGGAAGATCTATTGTGTTTCCTAAATTTATTAGCATAAATTTTACAAATAGAATGTATTTCTTTGTTCTTTCCCTTCGTGATATTGCCAGAGGGGAAAAGCAAAACTTGAATTAAAATTAAGGTTAAGAAAAGAGAAGCCAACAGAAAAATTGTTACCATTCCTTACTCTCCCATTATTCTTTAAGCAATGCTTGTTTCTATATTCTCTCTGCTTTGCATCATACACCTCTTCATACAAATATTTTATCTGTGGATCCATCAGTTTTTTTTCTTGAGATCAGCATTGCAATTTAATTGCATGACTTCTCATTTTTCTTAAGTATTTACTATACCTTCTTGGAAGGCTAGTTTTGGAAACAATGTCCTATGACCTCAGTTGTACTTTGACAATGGGAATCCAAGAAAAAGATATAATGCCTATATTATGTATTATTCAGAACTGAATGTTTTGTAGTAAAAAAATGCCAGTGAAAAGCTGACTTTTCTGACCTTCTCATAAAAAATCATTATTTTCTCTGTGTGATAAGACTTTGCACATCTACAGTTTCCTACACAGATGTTAGATTGAAAATTATCAGAAAACAAATTACCAACCTTTCTCCACTCTTTCCCAATGAAGTGTTCAATATACATCGGACAAAGTTCAAAGTCTTGAATGCTTGCAATTTCAACAAGATCTGAAATGGACTGCAGCCAAAATCCACAGACAAATTCTATCCTGCAGTCTGACCAATGCCTCAACAGTCCACTGTTTAATCTCTTCCACTGGAGAGGGTTAGAGGAAAATGTAGAAACACTTAGGAAGGCAAATGACAGGCACAAGAGCATTAGCTGCTGTGCAAAGTTACTATAGCCACGTTAGGGTGTGAGGAACCAGGGTAAACATTCGATGGATTACATATCTGCACAACAAAAATTGATTGCTTTTCCTGCTTACAGCCTAACAGACAAACCACATTAGCAGACAGTATAAAAAAATGCTTAAAGGTTTATCATTATTCATTTTTAAGAAAACACATTCTAAAATTTCAAAGTATCTGTATTAAAAATAATCATTTTAGCCTAAGAACTGAATCCCTTATAAGTCAGGTTTCCTCCACAAAAAAATAGTGTTGTCTTTGTGAATTAGATCTGTGAACCATTTTCATGATAAGACAATTTGTACTAGAAAGACATGCAAGAGCTTTTGTACCATTTTTATTCTAGTTAGTGAAATTTAATTTTTTAATATTTGAAAACTTTTTCAAAAACTCATCAAAGATGAGTGAATTTGTATTTTCTTTCTCTATCAAAGTTATTGCTGTTATGACAGGAAATGGCTATGTGGCACCTGGAATTAACCAGTTATAGACATGTTACAGAGCATTATGCATTTACTGACTAAGAAAAATAGATTTTCCTTTTATTTAAGAATAACTTCAGAATATTTTAAAGAACATAAATGTGTTATGAAATACTTTTCCTCTAGCTTTATTTCTATGCAGTATAATCTTTAGCCTCCCACATCACAAACTGAATGCCTCTGCAAGCATCCTGAATTCTGCTGTTTGATACATTTTCTTTTTATTTACTGCAGTATTATAATAATCCTTTTAGCCCTATTACGCATCATAGTGTGTGATCCCAGACTGAATACTGGGGGCTGTAATTTAGATTCAGATTCTGCTGCCCTTTCTAAAGCTCTTGAGCTGCACCCTTGTGAGCCGAGGCATCAGCAGAATTCTTTGATTCAATTATAACTCGGCATTTAATTGTGAACTATGTATTATTCTATAAATAAACCATAACCAATGGTTTAAAGCAGCAATCATTTACAAGGAACGTGAAATGTGAAGCTTCAGGCTACAGCTGAATCCACTCGTTCACATAAGAGGAAAAAGATGATTTCTTGTCTGGAATTTCAGCACAATGACTGCTTTTTCAAATAAAAGTGTAATGCAAAAGCACAAATCAATTTTGAATTCTGTAGATACTTGATTTTACTAGACATAAAAACATTCAAATTGAACCTGAAACACATAATTGTGTAAAGGTAGCAATCTGAAAGGTCTATTTGATGGTGTCCACTCATTGGCCTAACAACGAATTGTAATAGTTTTGACCATCCAGAATCACAGAATGGGTCAAGTTGGAAGAGGACCACAATGGGTCATTTGGTCCCACTTCTCTGCTCAAGCTGGGTCATTCTAGAGCACACAGGATTGTGTCCAGATGGTTCCTGAATATCTCCAGTGAGGGAGAATCCACAACTTTTCTGGGCAATCTGTGATGGTGTTCAGTCACCCACACAGTAAAGTTCCTTCTCATATTGAGATGTAACTTTCTGTGAAAGAGTTTCTGCCCATTGCCTCTTTCCTATTGCTTGGCACCACAAAGAAGATCCTGGATCCTTTCTCTGAGATCATCTCTTCATGCAGATACTCATAGACATTGATGAGGTCCCCACCCAGATTTCTGTTCTTGAAGTTCAACAGGCCCAGCTCCCTCAGCCTTTCCTCACAAGAGAGATGCTCCAATCCCTTACTCATCTTTGCTGCCCTCCACTGGACCTGCTCCAGGAGCTCCGTGTCTCTCTTGCCCTGAGGAGCCCAGAGCTGGGCACAGCACTCCTGATGTGGCCTCACCAGGGCTGAGCAGAGGGGCAGGGTCACCTCCCTCAGCCTGCTGGCAATGCTCTTCCCAATGCACCCCAGGACACCACTGGCCTTCCCATCCACACGGGCACGCTGCTGGCTCCTGGACAGTTTGTTGGCCACCAGAACCCCCAGGTACTTCCCTGGACAGCTGCTTTCCCCAGCCTGTGCTGGTGCACGGGGTTACTCCTCCCCAGGTGCAGGAGCGTTGCCTGAATTTCCTCTCTGCCCATCTCTCCAGCCTGCTGAGGCCCTTCTGAGGGGCTGCACAGCACTATCAGTCTCTGAAGCAGAAGGATGCTAAGCAGGCTCAGCTCTCAGGAACCTTGAGCAACTGCTATGTGTCTTTCCAAGGAGCTTCTATGCAAGTTATGCTCTGCACTTTCATTGCATCCGGTTAAGTGTCAAAGATGAAGTCAATAAAAGGAGAAAGAAGTACAGAGGCTTCTCATTTTTATAAATGTATTCATATTAATCACCTTGTCTATGACCTTTTTCCTATTTACCTCTTTATACCCTTTTATTTCCCTGTCAAATTACACTCTATCATAGTATCATTTGTAGAGTATATTTTGTTGTTTCTGACATAATGAGGCTGATGCCTCATTATGGTAAGGCTTATAGCTGTCAAATTAAAAATGAGGAACATTCTTTAACAGACAAAGTTTAGTCAAAATCAGTGTGTCAGACAAGAGGCTAAGTTTATATTTACTGTTTTAGCACAGCACATTTAATGAAACACACAGACAATACTATTTTGTAGAGCCTAAAAAATGCATATAGTACTAACATTTGATCTATAATCCTATCCATTTCTAAATCCAGGAGATGCATTTTACACAGAGATTAATAATTAAGATTTATTAGTATTTAATAAAACTGTAGTAATCTTCACTTGTAAGCTCAAGTAACTATACAATTTTATAGCATTTGGTGGCATTTTTGTGGATTTTCTTGT